ACTTACTACGTGCCAGTCAGTGTTCTAAGTACTTTATAAAACATAATTGGTTGTGATGTGTCAGTTTTTCCAGAACTACTTTGATTCTTGAAATTCTTTAAGACAAGAAATAACACATGTAATGCTAGGGTTTCTAATTGAGATCTTTAATTTTTCTGTCCAGCAGATGGAAAGGTTAGCAGGTAGAAGTTTCCAATCAGTACCATATCAGAGATCAGTGTTCTCCTTTGCTGATCCGTCATCTTTTTTTTAGGAATGGGATCTGTTGGGTAGTTTTACTGGCTTTGTGCTGATTTCAGATTTTAGATGTTGAGGAAATGGGAGTGGCAGCAGGAAATGGGAGCCAGCAGCTGGGAAACAAGTTTGTAACTTGATGTCAGTGACCTGGTCTTCACTCGTGGAAGACAAAATTACACGGAACTCATTGGTAGAGCAGGTGTCTCACCATTTTGTTTCAGTTTTTCCATTTGTGAGTGCATGATATACAGCTGTTCAGAACTATAATGTGTTCCATTTGGCAGTTATCTAGAAAGCATTTTATTTTTAAAGTATGACATGGGTGTTCAAAATTTGTAAGTGCCCTAAATGTAGCTGCTTAAAGATCTGACACATATGCCATATGAGTCTGTATTTAATTTAGTCTTAAATGTTCTTAAGGGCAGGCCCCATTTTATCTTGATATTTATTTCTTTTCTAATTTAGACACACTCATTTACGTAACGCCATGGTGTGCAAGATAGTGCAGCATCCACTTGATTAGCTGACATTGCTTTAAAATTTTATTTATTAACTTCAAAAGGAATCTCACTTCCGATTACTCTTGTGTATTTAAGCCAGTGAAGAAAAAGAAGATAAAACGAGAGGTTAAGATTCTGGAGAATCTTCGTGGTGGAACAAATATCATTAAGCTGATTGACACTGTGAAGGACCCTGTGGTAGGTGCCTGATGGTGGGGGGAGAAGGAGAAAGTTGTGTGTGTGTGTGTGTGTGTGTGTGTGTGTGTGTGTGTGTCACACAGAACATCAAAATAATGAGAAATGTCATTACATAGTGGGAATGATCATGTTTTTCTTTACTACTGAATAATTTTGAAAACGAGAAAAAATCATGATGGTCCAGTGATAAAGTAGCCACCACCACTTTTAGGGAACCTAAAAGTGTGTATAGAAAAATCCCTGGCCCAGGTTTATTACCTCCTCCTGATTCAGCCCACAGATGTTCGCTGAATGTCTTCTTTAAGTGCCTACTTTTCTTCCGATTTTGAAAGCTTATTACCACCAATTAGCATTGTTGTACTTCACAATGTCAACGTGACATTTGAAAATCTGGGTTTGGAGAAGGAAATACCGAATGTCTCCATGTGGACACCTGGCCCAGAGAGCTGGACAGATCACAGCCCCGCAGCCCCTTTGAGGAAGGCACCTTGCTGCTTCTCATACTAAGCTTTAATTCAGCATCCGCCACTGGGGCTCATATTGTACATGCTGATACAACTAAACTGTTTCTGTTAAGTATACTTACTTTGTAGCCATTTTAGATGTACTGGTGTTTAATTTTGTTTTCACTTCTTGAGAAGTAACTTAACCCTAAGTGTTTATGATTAGCTAGAGTTTTTATGTTCCACTTCCCGCCCCATTTCTGTTCTTCACCTGTTGTGCCTCACCTGTTTTCCTGTCCTCCCAGGATAGCCTTCTGTTTGAGAGGTAGGTCTTTGCTTCCGTCTGATGAAGACCTAAAGAAACAATGTGCTGGGGCGCCTGGGTGGCTCAGTTGGTTAAGCAGCTGCCTTCGGCTCAGGTCAGGTCATGGTCTCATAGTTCGTGAGTTCAAGCCCCATGTCAGGCGCTCTGCTGTCTGCGCAGAGCCTGCCTCAGATCCTGTGCCCCTCCCCTGCTCTCTCGCTCTCTGTCTCAAAAATAAATAAATAAGTAAACTTAAAGAAAGAAAGAAAGAAAGAAAGAAAGAAAGAAAGAAAGAAAGAAAGAAAGAAATGATGTGCTAACGTGCGTTGAGTGCTTGCTGTGTGCAGACACCATTCTGTACAAAGCCATTCAATCCTCACAAGTTGAAGCACATGCCATCACGGGCCACAGTGTTACTTGCACAGATAAGAAAACCAAAGGCTACAGGGGTTCAGTGATTTGCTCAAGATTCCCCAGTGTTATTAAACTGAAGAATAAGGAAAATTTTTCTTCTTGGACCCTCAAAAGACTGAGAAGAATGGTTGTCTGCTAGAATCTAATTGGCATTAAAAGTATATCCCAGGGGTGCCTGGGTGGCTCAGTCGGTTGAGTGTCTGCCTTTGGGTCAGGTCATGATCTCACGGCTCGTGGGTTTGAGCCCCGCGTCGGGCTCTGTGCTGACAGCTCGGAGCCTGGAGCCTGCTTCGGATTCTGTGTCTTCCTCTCTCTCTGACCCTCCCCCACTTGTGCTCTGTCTCTCTCTGTCTATCAAAAATAAATTAAAAAAAAAGTATATCCCAGCCTGATCAGCTCAGATTGATTTTATAATGACTCACTCTGAAATCCATAGTCTTTGAAAACGGCCTGCAGTGTGAGCCAGTATGTATTACTGTTACACCAGGAGCATCTTCATTTTGCTTCTTCTTTTTTTTTTTTTTTTTAAAGTTAGTGATAATTATCTTACTGTTTTTGTAATTTGTTGTCTGAGGCATGTGTGTGTTTTATATAATATGTAACACAAATCAAGGTGGATGAAAATCAACAGGGAGCCCTCCTCCCCAGACCTGTAGGGAAATGGACTTGCTCCCAGGCAGTAAAGAGATCTGGTGGTCTTGATGAAACCCTGTCATCCTTGGGCTATTGAGGAAACCTTTGCCTACGGCTGCCGGGGCTGCTTGTTCTGACAAAGACTTGTGTGCATGTACTGTGGCCTGTCTCCTAGGTAACTTCCACCTGCTTCCTTGAGCAAAACTTCCTGGCCATAGAGATTTCCAAGGTGACTTTCTTCCTGTAACCCTTTAAGCCTCTGCTTTTCTCCCAGTTTGAAAGCTTATTACTGCTAGTTAGCATTATTTTACCGTAAGTAAACCTGACGTTTGAGAAATCTATTTACACAAGGAAATTTTGGATATTATGTACTCATTGCATTAACGATTATAGTGCTTTAGAAATACTTGGTTATGCATGAATTTTGTGGGGAACATATCTACTTTGTACAGTCAGACATTCTCCGGTGGTCTCTAGCCAAGGCAGTAATTTCACATTATGGCTTGCTGATAATCATAGATAGTTCCCTTTTGGATCCTGAAAAGGCCTATGATAGATTCCCAAGACGTATGATAATTCTGTAAAATGCATCTGGGTTGCTAAACCAAGATGAAAACATGTCACTCCTTTTGTGGTTGGCAGACTGGAACACTGCAGAGTGTAAATCTTCACATGATGTGCCAGGCCCACTGACAGGTTGGTCAGAGGATTAAAAAAAAAAAAAAAGCAACTTACGAAAAATGTCAACCATTTACAAAAGTAGAGTGAATAATATAATGGACCGCCCTGCGCACATCACTCAACTTTAGCAGTGCCTTAGCTTGGGGCCAACTTTGCTTCATCTGCCTGCCACCCACTTTCCCACCACCCACCGTCCCCACTTATTTTGAAGCAAATTCCAGACACACAGTCTCAAGAGGATACTTTCTTAAAAGGCTCTCCCTGATGAGTAAATCCCTCTTTCATTTAAGTGGGATTTGGGGATGGACGGGTATGACAGAAGCAAAGTACGTTTATTGTTTGAATACTTATAAGGCATTACTATTCTCTCTTGCAGTCAAAGACGCCGGCTTTGGTATTTGAATATATCAATAATACAGATTTTAAGGTGCGTATATGCTTTTTCTTTCTGGCATGGGGGTGAGGGGGGGTGGGGAGGTGGCGATAAATACTGTTGATACTTCAGAACACGAGGGGTTCAGGAAAAGTCATGGTGAGATTGGGAATTAACAAATTGGATTCCTTATAGCAGGAGTACAGGATGCAGAAAGTGGGTGGGGTTCTTGCATTTGGTGAAATTACTCATCACCCTTTGCCTTGCTTACTCTGAGAGCTGCTAGTCTAAGCTAATGCCTCATCTATAATACTCCTGTTTTAGACAACATAGTTTTGGGTAGATACTTGATTTGCATAGGAATCTTCCGTTACTGATAAGTCATAAACAGATATAGGGCTTACATAAAAAGAAGCAACACATGGGATTCAAGCTGTCAGAGTGTGTGTGTTCATGTACACTGTATACAAAGCAAATGACACAGAAAAGCTAGTTAAGAGACACTGTGCTTTAGAAAAACCTTATCTTGGGTTATTTACATTTCTTGTATTTATAATGCAAATTAATTTAGACTTGAAGTGTAATTCCAAAAGCATGGTTTTAAGCTGGTTTTTCATGAGTTTGTTTTTGTTATTATTCAAACACTGAAGCCTTAACTTCTGCCAAGGTTTTTGGGGCCAAACATTCTGGTCACGGTAGAACATAATATGAAAACCAATATAAAAACAAAATAGTGGCATTGATTTTGAGAGGTGTTTGGAGAACTTTTAGGTGATTTATAATTCACTGTCAGTGAATGAAAGGGTTGTGGTTTTATTGTGATGGAAGTTAGGGGCAAAACCAAATCAGCAGTTGAAAGATGCTGGTATTAGGAGTGAAGCTTGTGGGTGAAAATAAAAAAGCTTTATCTCACATTTAATTTTTCTTAGGTAATCACTCTAAAACAACTTTCAGGGTTAATTTGTGGGAAATAAGTAAAAGTGGCTATTACAACTGATAAAACAATAAGCAAGTTTTATATACAGTGTAGCTTTTCCATATGTAACAAGTTCCCTTGTTAATGTGACTCTTCAGTTTTTTTTTTTAATTCTTTAATTTAGAAAGAGCCTCTAATGTGACTCCCTAAGGGTGAAATCAATAATGAACTCATAAAAATAGGATGTATGGGGCACCTGGGTGGCTCAGTCAGTTAAGCATCCAACTCTTGATCTCAGCTCAGGTCTGGATCTCAGGGTCATGAGTTCAAGCCCCACATTGGGCTCTTACTGGGTGGGAAGACTACTTTTTAAAAAAAAAAAAAAAAAGGAGGGCTACATTTTCCATTAGCGTAGCAGTGCTTAGCTGCTAAAGTAGTACTCTGCTGATCCACAAAGCCAGTCACACTTTTGCCATTGAATGACCCAAGTTTATCAAGGTGTACGTATATGAGTGGGAATGTGTATGCATTTCTTAATGAAACCAAACATTTTCCTAAATACAAAAGTTTGAAAGCTGGTCTTAATGAAACTTCATAGCAAAATGCCTAAGTTAAATGCTTCTGCTTCCTTAATAAGTTTTTACCAATTGTCTAGCCATACATATAAAAATTTCACTTCATCATTTTGTATTTCTTGAATTGATGCCTGCTCTGTTGATTTAACAGCAGAAATTTTTAACTCCCTGGAGAAATCTTATTTCGTTTACATCTCAACTCTCAAAGAGATGTTTTAATGGCACACATTCTCTAGGAGCTTCCTTTAAAGAGATCGTGGAAGATTAATGTTATTTGAGGCTTGCATATCTGAAAACATTTCTGTTTTATGTTTCCAATTAATGTACTTGCCATGGCATAGAATTCTGGGTTGTAATTAATAATTTTCTGAGTTTTGAAGAGCTTTTTCCCTTATCAGCCCTGAAGCCATTCTGGTTTCACCTTATGTGATCTGGTTTTGGTTTTGGTTTTTCCTTTGGAAAGCTTTTAGGGTTTTCTCTTCAGCCGCAGTCTGTGAAATTTCACAAAGATGTTCCTTCGAATGGGTCACTTTTATCTTTTGTTCTGTACACTTGCTGGGCTTTTTCAATCTAGAAACTCATGTCCTTTCATTTTAGAACAATATTTTTAACATTCTTTGATTTTCTTCTCTTCTTTGTTCTCACTTTCTAGAACTCATTCGAACGTTAGACTTTATTTCTTAGCTCTGTTCTATTCTCTGAACTTTTAAAAGTAGTATCCTGTTCTTTTATGTAATATCTTCTATTTTCTCACTGAGAATATGTGGG